CAAAACAATTTGAACGAAGGGCAGTGGATATTGGTGCTATTCCATGATGGACCGTAAAAGGTGAATAACATTTGGAAATATTTATTTGGACATGAAATTAAACTTAATGATAAACTATTTTTTTTTTTGCAATAAGGTAAAATTAAAAGGCCGATCGATAACAAAGTTGCAACAAAGAACATGAAAATATATCAATGAGAGTTTAGATTGTCGAATGTGTGTACCTTTGGAATCGAAGAGAACATGAATGAATTGGAATTGGATGGAAATTCAGGACTATCGCATGTGTGTACCTTTGGAATCGAAGATGATTTCCATCCCCCATGAAAATTCAAGACTACCATCTTAACTCCTCGATTTGAAGCCCCGTTTCTACTCATGATGAATTGGAAACCGCTCCAATGGAATTAGTCAAGAACAAAGAATCCCGTAAACAAAATAAAAAATATACACAAAAAGAAAAATAATAGATCTAATTAAAATACCAACGAATTTAGGATGGTTTTACATATATCGACTACGACTTGGGAAGGCATTGGACCGGGTTGACCTCAAATTGTTTTTGAACGAGAACAATGTTGCAAGAATGTGATATCTCAAATCCAAACAAAATAATGATAGGGATAGGATTCAGCAACACCAACTTTTGTGAAAGAAGAAAAAAGAGGTTGCATGATTCGAGGGCAGGGAAAAGTCCCCCTCCCCCTTAAAGAACTATGACGGATCTAAATTCAAGAGATTGAAGATAAAAAGAAAACATGGAGATGATACTGGGATCAAAACGTCGATCACAAAATGATCCAACAACTTCTAGAAGTGGACTTAAAATGAAGAAAAACAAAGAATTTGATCTAAGGTACTGGCAATACGTTTTAACTACAAATACCATGGAAGGCAAGATAGATATGCTATAACAGAGATTCTCAGAAGAAAAGAAACAAAATGGCATAAAAAATGATCATCAGGCAATCTAGCAACTTCCTAAGACAAAAATCAAAACATAGAAAACAAAGAAGTAGATTTATGATTAAAAATAAATGAAGAGAATAAAACAGGGAGAGGATGCGTGATAATTGAATAGACAAAAAAAGGCAAAGTTCATTCAGCAACGAACTAGGCTTCTGCATCGGACTTCTAATGTTCCATTTTGTGACAACAAAGCTATGCCTCTCCATTTGTTGAAGCAGGCAGCAGGGAAAGGAATGATCGAAGAAGAAGAAGAAGAAAAAGAAGAAGAAAAAGAAAGGGAAAAAAGGATAGAGAGAGATATTGTGATAAGGGTGGGAAGGGTTGTGGTAGTGAGATAGTGCTCTGTATTCAAATGGGATCAAAGTGACGAATCTGGTAGTGGCGGTGGTGGTAAGGAAAGAACAAACTAGGGGATGGGGAAGGTGTTCGAGAAGACTCCCACTACCATGAACTGTTGTTGCCATTGTTAATGAAATTTGGGGAATTCCTACTAGATGTAGCTTTACTAACTAGGTTTCCATATCGGATCTGGTGTGTCTAGAGTTCTCAATAATGGTCATCATACGAGGTCGGAGGCTCCTGTTTTATTGAGTTGGGGCATGATGGTGACAATCCTATTTTCGTTTGAATAAGGTTCCTGTAAATCTCTATAAATCTTTCCTTCAACCACCATCCTTAACTCTCACCCAATGAAATTCTTGGAGATAGGAGATGATAACCAGAGATTCTAATGTAAGCACCATGGTAAGGCAGAGGTTGGTCAGTTTTCGAAGGTTTGGAGATGGTGGCGAGAAAGAGAGAGGATGTGGGGAAGAGAGGAGAGAAGGGAGTTGCTTCTCTCTTAGAAATCCTAGGTCAAGATTGTATTATGTTGTCCCCTAGGGAAGAAGTCTCTCCTCCTTTTATAGAGAGAAAGTTAAGGTTATCAAGGAAGAAGTTCTTTCTTGTTAGGAAAGAGGATCTTTTCTGTTTGGAAATGAGATCTTTTCTTTTGTTTGAATATTAACAGATCATTATTAGATAATCCTATCCCTTCAGATTCTCTTTGTATGCAACCCTATTATACTGATGTGGCGTAGGTGATGCCATCGCTTGGTGGACATACTTTCATTAAACTCACATGCATAATTTAAAAATACACGTGTAACCGATATTTATTTCTAATCTATTGTGATTTCACGGTTCTATAACAGTCTCAGGTTCATGACAACTTTGCACATTTCTGAAGTTCATCACGAATTTGTGCATATCTAAGCTTTATTGCAAGTTTATGTATGTCTAGGGTTTATTGCGGATTCGCACTAGCTGATGTTCATCATGGCCCATTTCGAATATGAATTCATCACCATCGCAGACCTATGATGAACTTATCGTGAACGTGTGATGGGTTATGGATTCATCATTGGTGTCCATATAGTGTTGGTTTGACACATTCTATACTTTGATGGTCTTAGTGACCACTATGTACCTATAGTAGGAAGAACATAACAACATACATGACAAACACATTTACATGGAAGCAAACCAACTTATTACGTATTACTTGGATTATATTGGCTAGGAATTGGATGGACAACATCTCTCCCCCATGCATTTGAATGCAATCAATGGGCTACCCCTAGTTTTTCTAGTGAGCTTCTTCTTTTCCTCCATTTTTGTGCAAAACACACTTTAGAATGTTGCTTAAGTAGTACTAGTCTATTCTCTACCATACACCTTTTCTAAGTAAAGTTGTATTATCAACCTTGGTCTACACATTTGTTTACCATTAGGATGTTATCTGTAATTTGTATATTTCTAATGAAAGAATATTGGTTTTCAAAGATTTCACCACCAATTACTCTTTAATTCTATCTACTAAAACTAATGATGGATAGAAGTGGCTCGCTAGTCATCCATCACCACGTTGGCATCCAGTGCAACCTTAGATCACCTTGGGACTTTAAGTACCATCAGGTCGGAACTTGCTCGCCAACAGGATGGATTCATGTCACATTGGAGTACTCAAGCTTAGTTTGAGATAGCTCGGTGAAGATTGATCTACAACGTCAATTGTCACCTTAGAGCGCTTATACAGCACAAGCATCAGACAAGTTCCTTGATCTCATAATAGTTGACCTACATCACTCGCTCATTTTGTACCAAGCAGACCATTTAATACCTTTGATATGCTTGGGGGCATGCCATTCATTTAGTAGCAGTCACAAAAGTCTCCCCTGTTTCTTTGGAAAAAGGAAAGTGGTTGAATCAGTGATTGTCTTCAAGTGTCCTTAAGATCTGGAGGTTGAGGACCATTGAGGACCATTAACTCCAATAATCTTAGAGACATTCTAATCGCTCCCCAGAGCTTGTTTAAGGGCAGTTCATCACCCTCAAATGGTACACGCTCTATTAGCCATTGAACTCTTACACCATCTCCCTTGTACTAAGTTGATGGTTGGAGCCTTCATGTCTTGGTCCACAACTTGGGCACTCTGACACCATCTCCCTTGTACAAATAGCTTAAGCGACTTCACCCAATTCATCTTTCTAGCAAGGACAGGAGCAAATCAAACAAATTAAAAACCCTAGGCACTCTTTAAAAGACTAATTGGTTTGTAGTCTTTTACTTCAAGATTGCTCTCTTTCTAAGGGATAACAGCTAAAATGTTAGAGCTAATATTCCAATTACATTGCAATATCTGTTGTATATTAAATCAAAATTGCAACCAAACATATTGAAGACATCACATAGTCAAATTATTTTTCAATGGTTCATATTACACAAAACGTACTTATCATCAAAGTCTTTAACAACATTAAATATATCACTGTCACATTTTGCTTTATTATAATTCATTCACCTTCATGTTATCTTACAAAATTTTCCATAGAATGCACCGTTTTTCCTAAAGTTATTTCTTGGTTCATTTAGGCATTGTGTTTGAGAAGCCAGACACAACCTTGGGATTTGGTGTGAATTCAAACTTGTAGAAAGGCAAGCTCTCCAAGTGAATGCCAGTGGGCCCATATATAGCAGATCTGGACTTGTTTTAATCGCATTTCACTATTCTCTTTTTCGGAAAATGACTATTCAGCCAAGGGTTAGAACTTTTAGGCTCAAAGTATAGTTGGAGTGGATGAGTGGGAGATTTTGACATTTTGAATATTTATAGGTCTGTAGTGGAAATTAGAAATCTGYATTAAGCCTGTCTGTAATTCTCCATTTCTTTTGATTTTGTAAAAATCTAGTATGACCACAGTTAAAAGGCCTTTTACTTTTGACTAGTAGTCCTAACCCAATTGGGGGTCTATGACAAGCCATCTTTTGGATATCTAAGGATAAAAAATATTGGTCCCTCTTATTTGGGCCCCAACTATAATATGTCCTTATAACCTTATCCTTGAAATATATTACACATAACAAGACGGGAAGGGCCGAACCCATTCCTGGGCCTCAACTTAGGAATTTATTTGGGTTTAAAAGGCTTGACGTCACTGGTGTTATAGTGGCCCTTTTCTTTATAACTTAGTCCGGCCTGCATTAATGGGTTCAACTACTGTTGTATTTTTGCATGAACCCATTTTTGGTATCAAGTGTGGTAAAATGGTTGCCTATGCACTATATAATTGTTTTGAGTCTACTAAACCAAAACCCTATTTGAATGGGCAGATTTAAGTATAATTGTTTAAATTGATTTTAACCTTACAAAATAAGTTTTGAAAATTTGGACATTTGCTATGTAGTGTCTTGTGGCACTAATGACACTAGCTTACGTATATTAAACAATAATAAACAATCGTAACATTGTAATATGTGCCTTAGACCTTGTTTTTCCTAATTTTTAATGTTTACATCAAGTACAAATATTTCCTAATTTTTAATGTTTTCCTAATATATTAATTCCAAGGAGAGGTGAATGCTGACTTGGTCCAAGTCTTTGTGTTTATTATTCTATTGCAAGTGCTTCTTTACATTATTGCCCTTGCACATGGGTTTGGTTGAATGAACCATAATTAAGTCCACAACTGGAGAACCATTTGCCGTGTCTTCTTCACTTGTACCATCCCAAAAAGGTGTTATATGCTCTGATCAGTGAGTGGAACGTTGTGACCGCTTGCTTTAGTCTGTTTTCTCTTTGGCAAAATATGGCAGAARCTGTGCTTTTTGACTTTGTTGGGAAGATAGTGGCAAGCTTAGCCCCTCAAGCTATTCAAGAGATTGGTCTGGCATCAAATGTCGGAAAGGATGTTGAAAAGCTCAAAAACAAGCTATCAACGATCAAAGATGTGCTTCTGGATGCAGAGGAGAAGCAAGCCAAGAACGATGCCGTGAAAGATTGGCTCAGAAGGCTCAAGGACGCTGTTTATGATGCAGATGACGTGGTAGATGAATTTSAAACTGAAGCTTTGCGAAGGCAAGTGGAGATCCATGGCAGCAAAAGAAAGGAGGTAAAAAACTTCTTTTCTCGTTCAAATCCTCTTGCATTCCGTTTTAAGATGGGTCATAGAATAAAAGAGATCAGGGAGAATCTTGATGTGATCGCATCAGATATGTCCAGATTCCATTTTAAAAAGAGGTTACATGATACCMGGCCATTTGCAAACATAAAGAGGGAGGAAACCCATTCCTTCGTACATGAATTCAATGTTATTGGACGAGAAGAAGATAAAAAGAAGATTGTAGAGCTTTTATTAAAGGGACCCCCCGACTCCAACTTGGGTGGTGGTGATGGTGTTCATCATCATCATCATCCAGCTGATCAGAATGTGGSCATCATTCCCATAGTTGGAATTGGGGGACTGGGGAAGACCACACTTGCCCAATTGGTCTACAACGACCAGAGTGTGGCAGATCACTTCCAACTGAGAATGTGG